AGCTGGGCTCTTAATCCAGCTTGCTTCGCTGATAATCAAGGCTCAAAGGACCAGTGGAGGCGTTCTTGTGTTGCAGCACTGTCCAATGACCAAAGCCGCTCTTGTGGCTTGCGTTGTTGTCCACCTGGACCGTCGTGGATCTCTAAGCGTGCGTGATTATTACCGTCAGCTCGGAATGTGTGCAGGGGTATATAAACACTGGCAACCTGTGTGGCCATCTATTGTATATGAAACTTTACTTTATTTCGGTTTATTACTACGTCCACTTCGAATAAGACGTGGCCCAGCTCATATGGGTGACTCAACGGGACAATACGTTAGTTCGTTTACAACATAAACCGTAAATATTCCTGAACCAAAAGTGTGGTATTACAAACATGACATAAAGGAGCAAGTCACCATCTTCACACACAGTGCATTGTGAGAATACAGTGTTGTATGGACTACAGGTAGGACTCGGTTTACGCCGCTTCAATTAACGCCCGCTTCACTTTTGCGCCTCTCATAGATCACGATTGGAGGGGGTGATGAGTCATGACTCTGCCCGACTGCCTAGACACAGATGGTCCAGACATTGTAATAAAACTATAATACCAAATGATAAACTACAGCCTAAAAATGAAATAATTAAACAAAAAATAGATTTTCACACAAGGTTTTGCTGCTGCTGGACAATGCCCCTGATCACCGTCCAGATTTGAGTGATTTGAATACCAATGGCCTAGAGATCAAGATTGTCTTCCTTCCACCAAACACAACCTCACTTTTACAACCCATGGATCAAGGACCAATATCCACCTTCAAGGCTTATTAATTACGGACAACACTCAAGGGAATTTCTGAGGCTATTCAAATGTCCGAAAATGTCACGTTGAGAGACTGCTGGAAGTCAGACGACATCATGAAAGGAATCCCCAACATTTCAGCGGCATGGAGTGAAGTGTCAAAATCGTGTATGAATGGGTTCTGGCCAAGTATTTTTTCAAGTATTTTATGTTGAGTACTGAAAATCTTAGAACGGAATCTAATGTATTTACATATGTTCCCATTATATTTTTGCTTCAATTTACGCCGCTTCATTTTACGCCGGAAATCTCAGGAACCTAACCCCGGCGTAATCCGAGTCCTACATGTATATGGATTCAATATGTTAATGGGTTGATTTTAAAATGCCACTGATGATGACCTCTTGAGGTTGAAACGCGTGAAGCGCAGAATCTTCCGTCACATCATGTTTATCCAGCGTCAAAGCGCGCTCCTAGCCTAACGGTACAGTGCGTGGCAGTACGATGGGCCAGTTCAGCGGGAATGAGTCTCTGAAGTGGCACGGAACACGCAAACGACACCTACGTAACTTGAGCTAGAATGCCGAAACAAACTTCATATTTGGGCGCGTTCTCATCTAAAAGCTGCAGAAAAATGCACCTATATATGTGGTATGTAACCCGAGAAACACTGAATGGATTATCGTGAAATTTGAGACAGGGAATTTATCGACACAATTCAATAACGATTCGCGAGGATCTACACGCGGTTACGACCGTACTTGGAGCGTAACTCGCTAAATGTTTATCGGAGCGAAAAATGTTGCGGACTAAAGTTGTAGAGATGGTACATTTTATGGTTAACACATCTTTCCGCAAGTCTTATGGTTTTCTAAATACTACACGGCGCAACAACCAGAAGACAGCCATCTTCAGACTCACCGCCATCCTACTCCTCCAGAATTGTAACGCTGTGCGTTAAGGTCTACAATTCCTAATTTACTGATACTGTCCTGCCATCTACACTCTGCTTTTCGAAGTCGTCTTCTTACTCTTAAACCATTTGCATGATCTGGAGCCTTCACGGCGACAAT